GCATTTAAAAAGCGCTAGTAGGTGACACTAGGGGTAAGCCCAATCGAGAAGGAGGAACGAAAGTTGCTTACACCTTCCCACGCCCTTCCGTTATTAACCATAGAGGAGACGTTTTAAATTGCTGCCACTACAGTGCCCCCGTATCTTGTGATAGCACCTGGAAACGTCCTATTCCTCAGAAAGAACTCGCACGGCGCAACCACGATGAACTTTCTCGTTTCCCTTTGAAATCCGAGTGTGTGTTGACAAAATAGTGGTGATATTTTATCAAAATACATTCATTATCACAAATACAAATAAAATATTTGTTTAGTTTCAACAATTTTCGTATTTACACAACAGCAACAGCTAACAGCTGAGCATTAGAATCATAACAGTCATTTTTGTAGTCCCGATCGTCTCGTAACTAACAGTAAGTTGCGTTCATACTCGGCGAATTCGCTGACCGCGTGGATCATCTGATCAATGAAATAGTGCACACTAAGACGATACGCAGGCTGCGCGACTGTTCTCTAACATTCTCCGTTCCACCAAAGTGCTATATTGGACGATACCAGCTGTTCGATCGCTGAGCACAACTGCAGCTCTAACACGGCTGAAGATACGAGTCAGTTACGGTAAAGAGAGAAAACGGAACCAGAAAAAAACGACCGACGAGTGAAATGCAATTCTTGGAAAGCTCTGGGTTGTTGACATTACAGCGTAAATCAATCACAAGAAAACAACAATAGATTTCTTCTCGGTCAAGCTCATTTTGAATCACTTGCTGTGCGTGAAGGACACAGGAAGACTTGCTATGGCATAAAAAAGGGTAACAATCGATAACTCTCGTTCAACACATTGACAACAGCGCGGTCTTCTTTGACTGCGTGGGACAAGCGCGATTTTGTAAAAGCGGCCGCCTAAGCCTACTAATTTCTAATTTTTAGCTATTTCAAAAACTTAGCCATTTAAACATTTTTTGGTGGTTATAATTAGGTGTTATCTGAAAAATGGGCGCAGAAATCCTGAAGTTCTCGCGAACGCACGAAAAAACACGGGTGTGATACGCTACTGAATCACGCCGTCCCACGCGGCCGGCAAAGTGTGACCAACGGGCGGGTCACGCTGTTTGTAAAACTTTACATACATCAAAATAACAGTATTCAATCAAACCATAAGAATTGGATATTGGAATAAATTTAAATACAATGCAAGGTAGACATCAAAGAAACGAACTATCTCGCCAGCGAGGTGAAGCGGTCATAGCGATAGTAGTGAGGTGAACAAGTATTGAACAAAAGGGGAAATTCATCAGTCGCTGTTGGATTCAGCTCGAAGATGCCTGATCATCCCTGCCCCTATTCCTGCAGTGATGCGTCCATCCTGTGCTGTCCTCTTCAATGCTAACGCTCTCTCTCTACTAAACGGCCAGAGTCAGACGTTGAGAGGTGGGCGGGCGCTGGTGTGAGCGGCGCGGGTGTGGCCCTACCAGGCCGTTGGAGCATAACATCGCTGCGAAACGCGCATCGTCCCGCACCCTAAGGGGGGGGGGGGGCCTGTCTTTCTACAAGGCATA